AATTGGTTTAGGATTAAAATTAGATTGCTAAGTTTTTTTTTAATTTGACAAACTGAGAACATGTCTAGTATAATGTAACTAGTTAATAATACGTGAATAAGACGGCCCAGGTTTAGTTTTATGCTATACACGTTGGTCCTGGGCCCGCATTGGCAACGGACCGCCCTGCTTACATCATTTTCAGAATTTATGAATCATATCTGAAACTCAACTATAACAACTCANTTTAGCAAAATTCCACGGCCTTACCCAGAAATAATAATGCGATAATTGCTTCAGGTGCGCATTTTAATAATCTTACCTTCTTAAATTCGGGTGCGCATTTATGTGACCCAAATCCAAATCTCAACGGAGTCGGAATGTATTAACAACCACGGGCGCATTGATTGTGACGTGGTTCGAAATGCATTTTCACGACGTTGTAATTCCATAAAAAATAAATAATAATAAAAGCGGTTTAAATCTAATAAAAGCACACAAGTTATAACATGTATTTAAAATCAGATATTTAGCCATTATAACAATTTAAGAGACCGTGTTAGAACCACGGGATCCGGGGGTGCCTAACACCTTCCCTCGGGTCAACAAAATTCCTTACTTAGAATTTCTGGTTCGCAGACTTCATTTGGAAAGTCGAACATTTTCCTCGAATTGGGATTCAAGATAAACCGGTGACTTGGGACACCAAAAGCCAAACCTTTCCCAAGTGGCGACTCTAAATTAAATAAATAATCTCATTTCGAATATTGTCACTTAAATTGGAAAAAACTCTCTCGCGCATTTTACCCTTCGGGGCGGGAGCGCAAAAAGGAGGTGTGACAGTGCTCGATTCTGATTTTGGAGCTATGCTATCGCATCTTGCTGAGTTTGCAACGTTTCAAATATCATTTGAAGGCTAATCCCGCCTTCTTCACCACTTTGCGTTCTGATCGGCTGCCTGGGAGTCTCTGCGGATGCTATTTTCAGGGTCAGCGCCTAAGTTTCCATGAATCGCAACACGAGAATTGACATCGACTGGATCTACGCCTTATGGCCCATCAGGGTTGATTGGAGGTTCTCCATTTTCCGAGACGACTATGTGCTCGTTCTTGCCATGAAGACCAAGGCCGATATCTGTGTGAGTGGGCACTCCTTGAGAGTTTGATATGTTGATTCTTGAAATCTAAGACACTTACGAGAACAAGTGTAAAAGCAGTGTGTGTTATGAGGATTAATACTAGGCAATCACTATTACCATTAGCCCCACGGTGAGCGCCAAGCTATTTACCCTAAAAATTGGATAACAATTAAACTTATAATGTGGCTTTAAGGATATATTATTTTACCTAATACCAATTGATAAACGTAAAGATAAGTGATACAAATTGACAATAATATAAAGCAAACCAACATTTGGACAGAGATCTCGAGCTCGGACACCCTCGAGCTAGTTATGCAAGAACAGTTAAAATGCAACGAGCTGATAAACAAGAGAATGTTAACTAAAGAGATAATATTATATTGTTTTTATCTGTGTGAATGTAAGGTGTCTACAAATGATGAGGACTCCACTTTATATAGTAGAGGAGTCCTAGTTATGGTATAACTCTAATTATAGAAGTAAATCCCATGATTAGCCTAAACAATCGCACTTGATCTAATCTGTTCTAGAATTTCCGCCGTGAACTTCGACCGGTTAATATTTTGCCTTTCCGTTATTGCGCTTCGTTCGAAGTCTGTCATATATGGTCTCGATCGTTGTTGGTCTCGATCTCGATGAGTACCTCGATTTTTGAGCTTGATACTTTATCTTTGTGCTATGACCTGACTCATTACGAGATTGACCCTGGACGTAATGCCCTGGTCTTCGATTAAATGGCAAAATCGGACAAGTTCCTATTTTATCCGTATACTGACATCAATACCCAGATTGTTTTATTATTATCATTGTTAGAAATAATGTTCATCAAACTAGTGACATCATAAAACAAATAGATATGATATGTTTTAAAATTATCATAGGATCCGTGATATTTAAAACATTGACTATGTATCATAAAAAAATTTAAACGCATTGACTTCATGAAACACGTGGTATATGTTTACTATTACACTATATTCGTAAAATAAAACATTTTCACTTGAGAAAGGAAAAAGATAAGGAAAAAAATTGAATTAGATATAGTAATATGTCAAAAAATTACATTGTTACATTGTTTAACCAATTATAGTAGATTAAATATTAATTTTATCGAATCATTAATTAAATTATTTATAATTAGATCATAAGTAATCTGATTATATAAAAATTTTTAGTACATGACACGTATGTCTCTTTATAACACTTGACCAACTGAGTTTCCAACTCTTTAGCCCACAGATAAACACCTAGTGGTGCAGCCATTATTGATTTATTTCCAAAGGTAGGGGCATTTGGCGTAATTACCTGTAATTACGGAGTCCTTTTTGACCACCCGCTTTACTATTTCGGGGCACCCCAATAACAGATTTCCCTTGACCCACCTTTACCCTTTTTTCTCGTCAACAAATTTTTTCCCCAATTCTAATTTCTTTTTCTCTCCCTCGAATCGACCTCGATTTTTCTTCTCGACGATAAAATCAACCCCCGATCCTTCTAATTCGTTTCATTCTCTATCGATTGATAACTTTTTTGGCTCTAGCCGTGTGGAAATCGAATCCCGAGGTTAGGGTTTCAGATCTATCGTTTTTTCACCAGATCTGTTCGATTCTGTCGTAGGATTCGTGAAATTAAGCTTTTTTCTATCTCAATTTTGTTAGTATCCCTTCATTTCTCTCGCCTTTGTAAAAGAAAAAAAAAAGGATTGATTTTTTCATATTAATAGTTTGGGATTTTGGGGATTTTTTGTTTAATCCGTTTTTCTTATGCTCAATCGCATCAATTTCTGGTTGATTTGATCTTTTGATTTTTTTAAAGCCTCGAATCTAAATTTGGGGATCTAGGGTTAGGTTTTTTTTCTTCTTCCTAAAGTTGTAATTAATCATTTTCGCTCACAATTCCAGAAGAAAAAAAATATTTCATCGGAATTTCTGATTCCGATTGTCAATTGATCCTAATTAGCTCGAACCAAAAGATCTTTTGCTCGATTTTACGAAGACTTCTCCCAGGTACTAAAACCGTCATCTTTTCCGATAATTTTGGCTTTATTGAACCTGAAAAATCTGATTTTTATTAAAAATTTTGTTCATTCAATTAAAAAAATTTAGTTTTTTAAATATTTCGAATTCTATTGTCTAGTACTATCAAACTCTCTGAGCCACTCCATTTTCACTGTACACGTGCCACGTGTCACTACTTAAAAAACTTAAAAACAAATGATTACTGACCCTTTACCTGTCGAGGGTCAATGGTACCGACTAAATTCTTTGCTCAAAACATAGTGGGGTCTTATGTCTATCATTTACTCTCTTTTATTGATAGTTTAGTTTTGGTTGTTCTTACATATAAATATAATATATTTAGTATACATGCAGTAGTTTTGTTAGTGACGTTCTGTATCCTTTTAACACCTCTTCAACTTAACTTCCTCTTGCAGTTAAACATGGTGCAGAAAAGACCATTTGGTGAAGAAGAATTGTATGAAGTTTCATCGAAGCAACCGAGACATGTAGAACCAAGTAGACAGCTAGTTTCCTTTTTGGAATTTCCATGTGAATCAGTGGCTCCTCCTAAGTGTTACACTTCAGGTTAGGAAGAGATTATTATCCTATCAAAATTCCGAAATGCTTTGCATTGTCTTAGCTGCTTTGTGAGTAATTGTTGGAATGCTTTTATTTACAAGATTGCTCTTTTAGCAACAAGTTTGGATGTGAATGAATTTTTGGGTTCATTATTCTTGGATGAGCTTAATATCTATATGCTCTTTGGTAGGTGGAGAAGATGACAAAGCTGCCACTGACAAGAGACCTGGTAGTGGCAATGTGGCTGAAGTCCATATTTCTACTGAGAAAGGAACTGAGATGAGCTTTCATGGCTCTGCTTCGAACTCTTCCTGGGCCACTAGTAGCACCAGCGAAGAAGACATCAGGTCCGAGGCACCTTTTCACATATTGACAGCCTCTGAGTGTTACAATATTGATCCTCAATTCAGAGTTGTTATTCATCCAAGGGAGGTCTATGCCTCTCTTTTGAGCAATTCTCCACGAAAGTTGGTCCCCATTGGACCAGATTTCCAAGCTGAATTACCAGAATGGGGTGCATATGATAGTAAGAATAAATCCATCAAGGAGTGCACGAATGAAAGCCTGAATCTTCCATCTCAAGATCTAGAATCAGATATTGTGGATCATTGTGATGAAGAGAGTAAACTTGCTGGTACTTGTATCATTCCAATGCCTAAACCAGAGCTACCTGCAGACCATGAGGGGAACGTGGGAGCAGGAAAAATTGAGTGCTCCTGTGAAGATGCAGGTTCCTTCGGATGTGTTCGACTGCATATCATAGAAGCAAGGTTGAAGCTTAAGGAAGCCCTTGGTGAGGAAACATTTGTTAGGTTGGGTTTTTATGATATGGGAGAGTTAGTGGCAGAGAAATGGCGTGAAGAGGAAGAGGAATTATTTCACGAGGTTGTATTTTCCAATCCTGCTTCACTAGGCAGGAATTTCTGGAACCAACTTGCTGTTGAATTTCCTTCATGGAGCAAGAGAGAACTCGTTAGCTATTATTTTAATGTCTTTATGTTGCGGAAACGTGCCAAGCAGAACAGGTTTGACCCATTAAATATAGACAGTGATAATGATGAATGGCAGGAGATCGATGACGATGTTGTTGCTGCCGAAGCTAAAATGACGGATGAGGATGAGGATTCCGTGGTTGAATCACCAGTATACCAAAATTATCCTGGTAGCTATGAGATATATGAGAATGATAAAAAAGCATATGATGAGGAAGCTGGTGGTGCAGCCTTGGAAGATTATAGGACTATAGATTTTGGCGGGAGGAATGTCTTGAGTGATGAGTTAGAAGCGTGTCCTGATAGGTTGATTGATAGTAACAACAGTTCTGGACACAATATTCAGCCTCTAGAAAGACATTCAAATGAAATAGGTGACCATGATGTACAAGATAACTCTTGTACCACTGATGCAGCTGGGCTTGGTTCAGAAGCACCACAAGGAAAGACTGACAATTCTAATCACTGGGCAAGTAATTTTGCTGGTGTTGGAAGTGGCAGTGGGCATGATTTTGTGATGGGGCCATCTAATGGTAAGGAATGGGACATTGGGTACTTAAGCTGTGCTAAAAATAAAGTTGACCTTTTACCAACCTGCACTATGATTGAGGAAGTCTTTGGAGATGGAGCCTGGAGTTCCAAGAACAGAGATGGTCATGGTTTAGGCTAAGCTTTGACATATTCACCCACTGTTGCCAACCTGCACCGGTTTTTTTTGCAGTTGCATCATCCTGAGAATGCTTCTTATGGAGAGTGGAGTCCAGTTTTTCTTGTATATTGTAAGAAATGATTATGCAAGGGGGGTGTACATCAGCTGATTTATACGTGGCTGTTATCAAATTATTTTGTTGCCATTGTTTCATATTGAAACACACCAATTTTAGACTTTCAACCTTGCTTTGGGGTGGCTGTAGCAAGTTTTTTTCAGGTAGGCGCTTAGTATTTATTTATGTAAAGTTTTATGGCTGAGTTGAGCCATATTTGGAGAAGTGGAAAAAGAAATCTTTTAAATTCTGATATGTGCCAAATGTTGATTATTCTTTTGTATAACCATGACAAAAAAGAAGTTTTAAAATGTACCCTGCTGTCATCTAACTATACATCAAAGGCTTTTCTTCTGGTTCTAGTTCTGAAAGTGGTGGTTTGTACTCTGTCTTCAGTGACTAGTGCAGCTTTCCCCATTACCAGTTTTCTTGATGGTCAACTACCTCTCCCTTCGGTAATTACCATGAAAACATTAAGATTGCCTAATGAATTTTGAATAACTTTATTCCAAGGGTAACTATGATATTATCATGATGAGATCTATTTTCAGACTAGCAAAATATTGTTTCACCTGCACATGATGTGAGAAGTTTTGTCCTGAAAAGAGCCATCATCTCTTTCCAATGCAGGATAAGAGTCATGTATGGTATCAACCTACTTCGACTCTGCTCTTTTTCCTGAAAAAGCAATAATAGAAGGAGAAAAAGGACATTGCTTAGACATGAAAAAGCAATTAACATATCATACTAAGTACATAAAAACTACATTTTATTCTGGCACCCCACATGACTATTAGATAGTAAAGGAGGAAGTAGCTAGTTGCAAGGTGGGCCTCCTTGCTTGGTTATACAAAAGGGAAAAGTATCAATAATCTACTAAGTCAAAGTATTAGTTGTAGAGTGCTTAACCAACTCTTACTTGTATGATCCATCCTAAAGTCTAAGTAATTCAAGATGTTTTATGGGGCTTTCTTTTTTGTTTTGTATTCCTTTTATTTCATTGACCTTTATGAGTATTGAGTATTACATAAGAAATTGCTTTTGATAACTCAGCCGTGGACACATGCACCATTATTATTTGTATGAAGTGACATATGCGGCAGAACTAGGATTTGAAATTTAATATTTATACATATTTAATAAAAAATTTAATACATGTACAACATTTGAGCTAAAACTATTAAATTTGCTCGACCAAGGGAAAAACACTATACTTTCTAGTTATGTCTATATATTTTATATATCAATTAATGCTCGACGTGCTTACAATCAATGAATCTTTTTCTCATATTCCAATTGTTTAATTGTGGATCTGATATCACACAGTGGACCAATAAAGCTGGGACCTGCTTGCTTGCTTAACTGCTAGTTGGCCAGTCCTTAGCAAAGATTATATTGCTTTATTTGTTTGCTTGTGAGGCAATGAAGCTCCTCAACAAGACTCATTCACTTGTGAGTTGTGACCAACAAAGGCAGGCTAGTAGATCTTACTTTGACTTGAGGTAAAAGTGACCAAAAGACTCCAATAATTTGGTTACAAATTTGATCATTATATATCTAATGAAATTACACTTTAACGACAACATCCATGATAATTGTGGACTGCGAAAATACCAGCACGATAATATGTTTTTGTGACAAAGAAAGGACACGAAAGAAGAGAATAGTGGAAATTGTAGGCGGTGAATCAAATGAATTAAAAGAGACATCCCAGGGCACGAAACATTCCATGTTTATGCATGGTCCATGGAAGAGTTGCACTCCAGAAAGTGTGATGTAGGTAGTCTGTTCACTAATTCCAAGACTCAAATACGTGACTATGGATCACTGATTCTCTAAGGCTCCGCTTCGAGAAAAAAATAATAAAGAAAAAGAAATCAAGATTGATTTAGATTAGGGGTGTCAAAGGGACGGGTTAAAATGGGTCGAGTTAATAAATGGGCGGGTCAATGATCCACTCAAAAGTTATTTGGGCTGAGATCGGTTAAGTCAAGTTGGACTAAAATTTCGGTCATACCCCAGCCCGCCCAACTCTTACCAAACTTTAATTAATGTGTATTGTTTTCTTATGAATAGTTTAATTATTAAATTAAAAAAAAAAAAATTTTGTTATGGTCATATATAACATACAAACAAACAAAATTATTTTAAAAATAATTTAGCAAAGTTACTCAAGGTCAATTTGAACTAAAGATCAACCCAACTTTAAATAGACTGAAATAAGTTACGTCAAGATTGGTTGAGTTCAAAAGATAAGCGGGTTAATGAACAACCCAACTTTAAGCGGGTTGGGTAGGTCAAACGGGTTTGCACCCCTAGTATAGATAAAGAAAATTTTGAATAGTAGGTGGCCGGCTAGCTTTTTAGCTAGTGGAAAATTAGCTTGTTTAGTAGTAATAGTAATTCAAAATGATGCATGGCCCCCTATCTCTCCTAGTGGGAGAGTGTTCAAGGCTAAGTCTGAAAAAGGGCATGAATTTGATAGCAGAAGGAGCTTGACACTCAAAGCATAAAGCCAAAGTGGGCATCTTATCTTAAAGAGTAAATAATGGATATTCAAGACATGGAATTGAAGAAGACAGGGAGTGACAAAACTTTACTTGGAAGAGTGTCTTTGTTTGTCAATTTGGAGCATTACTTTTGGCAAAAATAGAGTCCTAAAACTTGTTCACTCTCAAGTGAAGTCACTTTGGGCAATAAGATATATATGCCATACAAATGTCCACACATATTTGAACAATTTAGAATTATCTACTTTGTAAGCTATGTTGCTGCATTATGTATATATTATATAACAAATTTGTGGTCCTTTAATTTAGTGCTAGCCAAGTAGTATGCAATGAAATTAAATTGCCACATGCTAGAAGCTCTTCTAAGCAATGATGCATAGTTTTGTGTTACATATACTGATAATACAAATATATTTTTTCACTATCAGTATAAGTTAGTAATTTTTTTTAGTAGATTAGTAATTATTGTTACTAGTTACTAATTGTTAAAGTCTATCATAGAATTTAAGCCTAATTAAGTTATAATGATCTAATTTGATAAATATCTTTTACTATGTTGGTATAAGTATCCAATTGATTTGATATATGCCACCTTATGATCAAAGTGGTTGAGCAGCTTTCTCACCAGCCATCTAGTAAGTTAGCTAGAGGAAATGTGGCCCAAAAAAAAAAAAAAAATTACAACAACCTACTCATAATTTCATTGCTTTAGGTAAAGATGGAGCCAAGATTTGAAGTTTATGAGTTCGAAATTCTAGTATTTTAAGTTAGTGAGTTTAAATTAATAATTTATATAATTAATAAATTTCTTAAAATAAATATAGAGTTTTAAGTTCGATTGAACTCGTAAGCTATAGTCTAGCTCCGCCATTGGCCTTATGCCCATATCTATGAATTACTGTGCTAATACTTAATTAAATTAAATTAATATGAGGAGCAGTCTGATAATAAATCATACTTTTTAGAGAGCCAACAAAAATCCACATGTGCATGTGGTTGTTCCTCTTAATTAACTGTGAATAGGGAAGTCTGTATTTTTGAAAATATTTGACACCAAGAAGAAGTTAGATATGAACTCTAAAGTCTAAATTACTAAACACTGACATGACAGCCATATAATGAGTTGTTCTACTCACTTGTGCTTAAGCCTCAGCATTAATTTGCTCAAACTTGACCAGAAAATGAGATTTGATACAGTGTTTTCCTCCCAATCATTTTTGTCCCTCAAAAAGATTATCTTTTCCTAGTGTTTAATCAATCTAGAAAACTTAAAAAATGATCTCAAGAATTCACACCTTTTAAAACCCAAGATTCTTTAGCCAATCACAAGACATTTTGCCTCACAGAACAATCATATTGCATGTATTATATATGTATAGTACTTCACAAGGCAAAAATAATATGCTTGCACATGTTTGATCTAAAAAAATGTTTGCTTAATTTGGTTTAAGTAGAGAAGGAAACAGAGAATTGCTGTTTCCTCGTAATGTATAACAACTTCCCCTGTGTGCTACAACTTTGTTAAAGGACAACCTAGTGCACTAAATTCTCGGTATCCGGGGAAGGATCGGACCACGAGGGTTTATTGTACGCAGTTTTACCCTGTATTTCTGCAAGAGATTGTTTTCACGGCTCGAACCTGTAATCTCCTAATTACATGACAACAACTTTACCAGTTACGCCAAGACTCCTTTTCGTGCTACGGTTGCCGACTTATAAAATAGGCACAAAGGGAGAACAACTTTCACTACCTTCCTTCCTATAAAGTGATTAATATCCTTAATATATAATTAGATATTTACGTTGTGGTTAGTGATATGATCATAGCAGGCTGTAACCAAGACTGGCCGGCAGCCTTTCAATTTTAAACTATCAACGCAATTCAAACAATACAATAGGTTATCGCTTTATTTTTCAGGTTACCTTATATAGGGCTCGTTAAAAATTACTCCATATTATAGTAGATCAACTTAACTTGATGAAAAATGATGAGTAATTTATTGTAATAATACAATGTAAATCTTTTGTCACTATGTAAAGTAGAGTAAGAGCTTGGTTTGAACTATATATAGCGAATGACTTAGTGAAGCAACAGCAAATAAGGGAGCTGGCAGGACCTACAAGTCTTTGGAAAAATAGAATAATTAGGAAAACAAAGGAGAAGACCAGAGAGTGGAATTTTTATTTATTTCTTCTATCACTTTTTGGAGCAACGTTAAAGTTGTCTCCGTGTGATCTATAGGTTATGGATTCGAGTCGTGGAAGCGGTCACTAATACTTACATTACAATGGGACGGATGTAGTGTTAATACCGACGGATTCAATTGAACCCATAACTTTCGACGCGGAGTAAAAATTTATATGTAAAAATTCATTAAGATCACAAAAATAGTGGATATGTATCCATAATTATAAAAATATAATTAATGGGGTCAACGCTAAAAACATTAAAAATTGAACTCATCGAGTTTAAATTCTGGATTCGTCTGTAACATTACACATCTTAAAATGCGATCCTTCTCCGCACCCGGCAAGAATACGGAATATAGTATGCATCTAGCTGGCTTTTTTAAATCACTTGAAGTTGTGGGCTTCCTTAATAGAAAGACAAAGGGAAAAATAGTTATAAACAGTTAAGTGTGTTTGAGCAGGAGCTAGCTAAGGTCAGCTCAGCCATAGAGATGCTCAAATTAATGTCAACCGTTGGATTTGGGTTAGCGTAGTATTCTCAGTTAAGTACACGTGTTACTACCATCTTCCCCTTTACTTCTTCTTTTTTATCTTTGCTTCCATGCATGGTTTTCTCCTCCTAATTCCAAATATAGCATTGTAATTTGTAAGAGAGAGAAACTGGAGAGAGACAGTAAACCTCTAGTAATACTTAAAATTTTCTTCTCTCCTTTTAGTAGCTTGTTTATCCACCAGCTTTTTCAGCTCTCTTTTCTTGCCTAGTAGATCTTGTTATTGATTAAAATTCATTTATTTGAGCTAAATATTCAGAATTCTGAAACCCCATTTCATATTTCAGCTTCTTATCTGGTTTATAATTGGTGCTGTTCTTTCTTGGTTGACTCTGTATCATTAGCTTGTTGGTTTAGTAGAATGGTATACAGAGTTCAAACATATTTTTGAGCTTGTGAGGAGTACTAGTAGCCGAGAGTCTCTCTGCCCTTCCAGAATAGGGGTAAGGTTGCGTTCATCTTACCCTCCCCAGACTCCACGAGAATTCACTGGGTTTTTTTTTGTTGTTGTAGTTGCTGTTGTGAGGAATACTAGTAAAAGTTCGGCTTTTTCTCTTGACCATCTGATTGGATTGTTGTTTCTTGAATTTTCACTAAATTCAATGAAAGAAGATCAAGAACTGAAGTATATATGCAAGTTTTGCAACAAAAGTTTCCCTTGTGGTAGATCCTTAGGGGGTCATATGAGGTCTCATTTGATCAATTCTTCCATTGATCAGACTAAAAAGAAGCTTCCATTTATTGAATCAAGTTCTCCAATTGCTGATTATGGTCTAAGAGAAAATCCAAAAAAGACTTCAAAATTTGCTGAGTCAAGTGAAGATACTAATTTGGTTCCAAATCAGAATAAGGTATGTAAAGAATGTGGCAAAAGTTTCCAATCTTGGAAATCATTATTTGGCCATATGAAGTGTCACTCAGAGAAAATAATATCATCTATGAACAGTACTGTTGAAGAAGATCCTTGGAACAATAATGCTAATTATGCAATTCAAAATCAGGTTATGGATATTCAATCTGATACTGAAACAGCAACTCCTAATAAGAAGAAGAGATCATCAAGAAAGTTCAAAAGGTATATAACAACTACAACTTCCTCTACTGTAACTGAGATTGAACAAGAACAAGAGGAGGTTGCTATGAGTTTGATCATTCTTTCAAGGGATTCAAGAAATGGGGTTGGACTAAATCTTTTTACTGATGAAAATGGGAGTAAGAACTCCAAATGTAAAGATGGTGAATTGGTCAAGCTGAAGAAAGTCAAAAATGGGAAGCCAGAGAAAAATGAGAGGTCAAAGTCAGATGCAAGAACTCTTAGGATTTCAAGAAATGGTTACAACATGGATAAATCAGAGGAATCAGATGATAAGAAAAAGAAGATTAAAGAGGATAAAGAAAATGGATTTGAGGAGTCTGAAATTGAAGTTCACTACAAATTAGCCAAAGGGAGCTATAGCAAGAAAAGAAACATTGAAATGAATGAGTGTGATATTAGTGTAGATAGCAACACAAAGAAACTAAGAGATCAAGATTCTGATTCTGAGAAAAAGATCAAATTTGAGTGTACTGCTTGTAACAAGAGTTTTCACTCTTACCAAGCTCTTGGTGGTCATAGAGCAAGCCACAAAAGGACTAAAGGCTGTGAAAATATTATTGATGAGATTGAGCATATGCAAAATCTGGCTGCTGATAACAAGATCACAAACACAAAGAATAGCAGCAATGACAGTACAATTGAGACAAGTTCTGTGTCCAAGAAACTAAAGGGGTATGAGTGTCCAATTTGCTTCAAGATTTTCCAATCAGGTCAAGCTTTAGGTGGTCACAAAAGATCCCATTTGATTGCTGAGGCCAAAAGCAACAACCAAGCTGTTATATTACAGAAACCAACACCAGAAATCAGAGACTTTTTGGATCTTAACTTGCCTGCTCCAGTTGAAGAAGAGAGCAATGAACATGTTGGGTTTCAAACATGGTGGATAGGAAGCAGCCACAAACATGAGCAACTAGTGGGACTAATTTCTAACTGACTCTAGTTCCACCATTGGAATCAGTCACTGATCAGGTAGGCTGCCTACATCATACCCCTTGGGGTGCGATCCTTCTTCAAACCCTGCGTGAAAGCGGGATCTTCATGTACCGGGCTGCCCTTTTATGCATCCAATATTCAAAATTCACTAATCTGGATTAATGTCACGCAGGACCTATTGAAGGACGGACGTGAGACCTCTCATTATTCTATTCTTAGAGTACGAACGTGAAACCTCTCGTTAAAGATTGGAGGGATCTCATTCATCTCGTGGTTCATATTGAATTTCTATCTTTCACCCAAGGTTCATNTTTTGAGCAGAAGTCCAACTTTAATTTTTAAGTCCAAGCCTTCATTATGCAAAATGATAACTTTATTTATCGACTTTAACTACAAATTTAAATGAGAAAATTTTACTTTATACCCATCAATTCCAAACTATTTACATTTTAATGTTCAGGCCCAAACTATTTACTACTCCTACCCATGCGCCCAAAACTATTTACCCGCCCTTTGTTGTATTCGCACTGCCACTGCCTCACCAATCGCAATAAAGGGCTCCTTAATTTCAAATGCGTCCAGTTTTTAATCCCTCTGCTTCTTTGTCAAGAGAGTTAGAATTCTTTACTTTTCTTTTTAGTTTATTATAATAACTTCACTTTTAGTACTCTGCTATTTGACCTGCTTTAATTTAAGAACTTTTTTAGCCTATGTCTAAAACTTGCGGCCATTATCATTAGGGGAAAGTTTGCTTATGAACTCTAAGAAAACCAGTAAACCCATGTAGTAGCTTTTATGTGTATTTGAATATTCACCATTGTTGAGCTTGAAGTTCTTGAATTTAAAATTTTTATTTTGAAGATTTCTTGTTTGATTCAAAGTGAGTGCTGTTAAATATTGCTTATAATATCTTCTGGAAGTTCATACTGAAATTGATAGCATTTGGAGCTGATTTGAGGTGATTGAGATCGAAATTTTGAGCTGAAAATCGAAGAAGAACACAGCTACCAAATAGTATACTGCTACAGTATACAATATGTTGTAGGAGTATATAGCTATACTCTAACAGTATACTATAGGAGTATATAGTTATACTGCAACAATATACTATTATAGTATACAATATATTGTTATAGTATACTGTAATAATATACAATATACCGTAACAGTATGCTGTAATAGTATACTTATTACCCGTAAATTCACTTGCTTTTTTCCCTTTTAATATTCTTTAAGCTTTTACCCAGCGTGAGAGGCAAATTGAAAATGCAAAAATATATATATATTATAGTATGCTATATAATGTAACGGTATATTCTTACAATTAGATCCTTTTAGAATTTTTTGAAATTTTTATTGACAATTGATATTATTTCAGTTTAATAATTGAATAAAAAAAATTTTAACTCTTTGCGTACAATTGTATACCCTGTTGGTATAGCTATATACTTTACTGGAATCATATATTAGTTAATATTTTTTTATTGTATTATCTATATTTAATTGGTACACAATTTAATTTTCTTTAGTAATAATATAAAAAAATAATAATAAAAAATAGTGAAAACAGTAAATGAAATTAGATTATGAAGAGAAAAAAAATAAAAAAAGAAGTTAAATGAAATTAGAAAAGAAAAAAAGAAAAAAAATAAGAAGAAGAAAACGAGAAAAAAGAAAAGGAGAAAAGAAAAAAAAAGATAAAAAGAAAGAAAAGAAGCATAGAAATAAAAAAAATTGGAGAATAAAGAAATATTCTTCACAAAAACTACTATGGGTAGGAAATATAATTAGTTTATGGGTAAAAAAATAAATAATTTTATTTTTATTGGTAACTGTATCAAAACCCCAACTTAAATTATGCAAAATGATAATGATTCCTTATATAACAGTGTTGTGGGCTTTTCTAGTCCAACTATCCGTAACATCATTAACAGGCCCAATAAGCTTGTAAGCATTAAATTCAAACAGATATTTTTTTTCGGGGCAAAATACAAAAATGACCAGTCGGCCGAAACACACACTCTCTCTCTCTCTATATATATATATATCAAAAAAAAATACACATGTATAAAAAATATTATTAGCTATTATTTTTTCACATCCATGCATTCTGTTGTTTGTACTCATATATTGTCTTTTTTCGTCTTCTTGAGCCGAGTGTCTATCGGAAACAACACTTTTACTCCCTCGGAATTGGGATAAAGTCTGCATATACACCACTCTTCTCAAATTTCACTTATAGAATTTTACTGGGTTGTTGTTATTGTAGTGCTTAAAAGTTGATGAGATTTTGAATCAACAAGCTTAATTCACAATGTAAACTTAGTAGTTAAGAATTTTTCTATAAAATATCATTAATCTTACTGGTTTCGTGGAAGTTGCTAAGAAACTGCAAAAGTTCCTTTCGTGAAGGGTGTCTTCTAGAGTTCTAGGTGTGCTTCCTCATTTGTTCTCATTTCCAATTCAGATTAAGCATTTATTTATCTATGTCTAAATTTATCTGTACAGTATATATATATCAAATTATATTATTTTATCATGGTTAAGTGAATTAATCAGGTGAGAATATATACTAATTAATTTTGTGAAAAATAAATTTATTTAAAAACACATGTCCTATCTAGATTGGTTGGTGTAAATACCAGATGCGAATAATTTTTTACCCGAATGGTCTCTATCTATTTAAAAAAACAAAAGTGCAATGAATCATTTAGACTTCCGAATTAACTATGTGAAAGGAGTAAAGTTAATGAGCAGCCCCAAAATATTGTATTGTTTTTGCTTGACAGTTTTGGTACGCGGTAATATGATATTCAATATTGATTTACAATTCTTGTTATTAGATATAAAAAGTACTAAATATAGTAAGATAGTATTGGCTTTAATTAATGCACAACTTGCTAATTTGGTAAGTTTAGAGGTTGACGTTTTTATTTTTAGTAAATAAAAATAATGAAATTTCTAGACTAATTCAATGCTTCTAATTCTATGTTAAGCAAATGGCGATGAAGTTCTTACGTGTCAATAAACACAATGATATTAACACCTGTTTATTTATTCTGCAATCTAGTACCACATCCTCTTTTTTCTCTTAATCGTCCTGACATCTTTATAATAGTATTCTTATATAACAACACTTCACTGTAAAAGCTAAATTTTTCCGAAATTAATATTTATGTTATGTTATAGTATATGTTCTATGTAATAGCAGATCGTTGTAACATCCAAAAATATTCGAAACAAACAAAGTTGTTATAGAGAGATTTGACTGTATATATTTTTAGTACTAAAAAGTAAAGGAAAAAAAATAATACTTTGATGTTTGGTGTTTCCCCCCATATAGTTAAAGATATAAGTATTTCAGATTTTTACTAGAATAATGTGGAGTCAAATATGATTGTCAACAGGAAATGAATGAGTACAGTATTTTCTTCAAGTATTATATTACCTTCGAAAAATATTTTGGAAGGGTTAATTTTCTTGAAATAGTGATAATTTAATTTTTGCTACTTAAGAAAGGATACTCTAGCACTAATTCACTTTTAAAATAGACTATATTAAATAGTTTCAACATATTTACTGATATAGGTCAAAACCTAATTCTCCAGCACTTCCAAAAACAAACTTTATAGCAAAATGAGTATTTAATTTGCAAAATTACATGTTTTAATTAATTTCTTCTGCATTGTATAAATTATTCATCACATCTAAAGGCTCAAGTTGGCAGGCAACAGAGAGTATCTAGAGAGAAGAATTTGACGTTTAAATTGGAGAAAGTGTAATTTAACTGGACCTTAGGAAATTAGACTAGTAATTTTCTCTTTTTTCCATACTTAATGAAATGGATGAGAAATTCAAATTCTAATAGTAAAAAAAGAAAGAAAAATGGGTAGCTAAAAGTAGCCAAGCAGGTTAAATTAGTTCCGTCGTAAATATTACACTGCTTACATAGGAAAAATAATTTTTTTGTTTAATGTATAAATTATTGAATTCCCTCAACATAAATTTTTTTAATATAGTGATTAAGGGGTTTTAAAAGTAGATTTAAAATTCTCTTGTATAATTCGGCTCTGCCATTGATTATGGCATAGAACTCGTTTGGATTGACTTAAAAAAGTGGCTTTTCAGTAGAAATATAGTTTTTAAGCAAAAAAGTAATAAATTAGAGTTTTTGGCTTGTTTTAAGTATTTTTTAACTTTGTCAAACACTGTAAAAAGCTAAAAAAGAGTTTAAAAGCTGATTTGACCAGCTTAGAATTCAATCCAAACACCTTCATACTCATTCTGTTTCAATTTATATGTATTATTTTTCTTTTTAGTTGGCTTTAAAAAGAATATCGCTTTTTATATTTTGTAATTTAATTATAATTTTCTATACGATATATTTAATATCACAAAATTCAATGATATTTTGGTATATTATAAATTTTTAGTTTAATATAAAATTTAAACAGACTTTCTTAAATATCGTATCTAGTCAAACTAACTCAACAACAACAACAACAACGGCCCAGTATAATCTCACAAGTGGGGTCTGGGGAGGGTAATATGTACGCAGACCTTACTCCTACCCCGAGGGGCAGGAAGGTTGTTTCCAGGAGACCTTCGGCTCAAGAAAGCAACAAGAGACGATATATTATTACCATCAATAGAATCATAATAAAATAACAGCAATATAAGAAATACGAATTAGATGGAAGGTATAATAATAACCAGCAGCTAAAGCCCTGCATCAGTAGATGACCACTAGAATCCTAAAACTAACTCCTAACTGGCTAATCTCACTTAGTGCGCTGTAGAAATATTCACAACATCCCCCTAGCCTACAACCTTAATGCTCGACCTCCACAATTCCTTGTCAAGGGCCATGTCCTCAGCAATTCTAAGTCGCGTCATGTCTTGCCTGATCACCTCTCCCCAATTCTTCTTAGGTCGCCCTCTACCTCTCCTCGTACCTACCACAGCCAGTTGCTCACACCTCCTCACCGGTGCATCAATGCTCCTCCTGTGAATGTGCCCGAACCATCGGAGTCTTGCTTCCCGCATCTTGTCCTCCATGGGGGCCACGCCCACCTTCTCTCGAATTTCTTCATTCCTAATCTTATCCATCTTTGTATGCACGCACATCCACCTCAACATCCTCATCTCTGTTACTTTCATCTTCTGGATGTGTGAGTTCTTAACCGGCCAACACTCAGTCCATACAACATGGCAGGCCTAACCACTGCTCTATAAAACTTACCTTTTAGTAACGGTGGCACTTTCTTATCACACAGGACTCCCGATGTTAGCCTTCACTTCATCCACCCACCCCTATACGGTGTGTGACATCCTCGTCAATCTCCCCGATCCCCTGAATAACCGACCCAAGGTACTTGAAACTACCCCTCTTGGGAATGACTTGAGAGTCAAGCCTCACGTTCACTCCCGTTTCCGTTGGCTCGCCCCTAAATTTGCACTCAAAGTATTCTGTCTTCGTCCTGCTTAACTTGAAACCTTTAGACTCAAGGGCATGTCTCCAAACCTCTAGCCTCTCGTTGACTCCGCTTTGTGTCTCATTAATTAGAACTATGTCATCAGCAAATAGCATGCACCATGGCACCTCTCCTTGAATATGATGAGTTAGTGCATCCATCACTAGGGCAAATAGGAATGGGCTGAACGCAGACTCTTGGTGCAACCCCGTAACAATCGGGAAGTGCTCGGAGTCGCCTCCTACTATCCTAACCCGAGTCTTACCTCCATCATATATGTCTTTAATCACCCTAATGTAGGCAACCAGAACCCTTTAGCCTCCAAGCAGCTCCATAAGACCTCCCTAGGAACCCTGTTGTACGCTTTCTCCAGATCAATAAACACCATGTGGAGATCCTTCTTCCTATCCCTGTATTGTTCCACCATCCTCCTAATAAGGTGGATAGCTTCTGTGGTAGATCGCCCCGTCATGAACCCGAACTGATTTTCTGAAATAGACACCGTCCTTCGCACTCTCATTTCTACCACTCTCTCCCAAACTTTCATGGTATGACTCAGTAATTTGATACCCCTATAGTTGTTATAGCTCTGGATATCGCCTTTGTTCTTATACAACGGAACCATTGTATAAATTGAAACAGAGAGAATAATTCAAAACATACAAATTGAAACAGAGAGAATAATTGTGATTAAAAAAATTAACAAAAGAAAAAAGAAAAAGAAAGGAAAGGAAATATAAAAGCAGTTGACAAGAGCAGGTCAAGTCTACGTAGGCATACGGAGAGGAAACGGTCCAATTTGTTGGCTTAGTTCAAAAAGTCCTAACATCCCAACTCCACGCTTTTTCACAAAAGTCATCCCCAATATATATAGACCAAACTACAGTTTTTTCAATTCTATTCAATCTTTCTCTCTAGATTTTCTGCATACTTTATCATTTTCAGGTAACTGCACATCACCCAATTCTCTCTTCTTCTTTTTTTTTTTTTTTTTTTTTTTT